GACAGAGATCACAAGCAGGCAGAGAGGCAGGCAGAGAGAGAGGGGGAAGCAGGCTCCCTGCCGAGCAAAGAGCCCGATGGGGGCTGGATCCCAGGACCCTGAGATCATGACCCAAGCCAAAGGCAGAGACCCAACCCACTGAGCTACCCAGGCGCCCCAGCAGCCCCTTTCTCCATCTATGGGAGACCATGCCAAAGGATCCCACAGATCTTTGAGGTCAGCGAGTGGGGTGAGCAGGACAGGGGGTCAAACAGGGAAATCGATACAACTGTGGGACATGAGTCCCTCTTCCCGCAGTCCCCAAAAGGCAGCAGGGAGGGGCGCCCGCGGAAAGCGTGGGTCTCGGGGACCCACCGCCCCCCCACCCCGTGCGGGTTCTGTCCAAGTAGAACAGCATCCAGCATGAGGTACTGATGCCTCGCGGGATCCGGGTCGCATCGTCACCAGGAGCTCTTCCACCGCAGCAAAAATGCAAGGGGTAGCAGCCGGGCCTGGGGCGCCTCAGGTGGGGCGCCCCGCCCACTCGGCCCGGCTACCCTCCTCCCGGCCCGCCCCGGCCTCTCGGCCCCTCCCACTCGGCCGCCCGGTGGGGGTCCGCCTACCCGGCCCCCGGGCCCCGCACGCGTCACGGGGCCGCCCCACCCCCAGCGGGATCCATCTGCGTCTCCTCAGTTCCTCAGGGGTGGTGGCTGCGGGGACCGCTGCGCTACAAGTTTGGAAATTTTGGCGGCGGAGGAGCGCGCCAGCATTTGGAAGCCGAAGGCTGTGGCAGTAGCCGACCTTCGAGAGCCCTTCATCCGCGGCCTATCATGGGCGCCCCGGCGCTCCCGCAGCCCAGAGTCGGGCGGCCACGAGACTCTACCGCGTCCACCAGCGTTCGCCCGCCGGACGGCTGCAGCCATGTCACGGGGGCCGGAGGAGGTGAACCCGCTCACGGAGAGCACCTACCGGGTAAGCGAGCCCGGGACCTCGGGATTTGAGGGCGGGAGGCCCGGGGACCGAGGGCGCGGCGCGGCTGGGGGTGCGGGGAGGCCCGAAACCCATGGGCGGGGGTCGGAGTTTGGGGCTGCGGAAGCGGGGAGGCCGCACCGCGGCTCGCGGTCGTCGCCGGGGGAGGGTCGGGGCGAGGTGCGGACTTAACACGGAACACCCTCCCCCGTTCCCCTCCCAGCGCTGGAGCTGCCTTGCTAGCCATACATTTCACAGCCCAACGTGTCAGGAGGGCGTCGGAGAAAGGGTGGGGTGGGTTGGGGTCTGTCCCCTCCCTGGGGGCCGCGTCCTCCCGTCGGCTGCCCCTCGAAGTCGGAGACGCGCAGGTGTGGCCTCTGTGCCCGAGCTCTCCCCGAGCGCGAGCAGCGCCTAGTTCCTGCGTGCGGGGTCGGGGGCGAGCGCCGCGCCAGGGGCGCCTCTGGGGGGCTCCGCGGGCTGCGGGTCTCTGCTGTCACCCTCGGGGACCCTACCGCGTGCGGCGCTCCGAGCCCCTCGGCCTGGACACACCGACTGCTCCGCAAAGTCCCAGTAAAATGGACCTAACCTGCAGGAAAGCTTTGACGGTCATTCCCTTAACTTGGGTTTCTCGCGAAGGCGGTTTTCCAGTAACAGACACAGATTTAGGATAGTGGCCAGTTTAGTAAGTTTAAGTACTTGTAAATGCGTTCCAGTTGAAATAAGATACGTGCTTCTTAATCATTGGCTATTCACAAACTACAACAACTTTTGTTTTAATCCGGCTTAGGCTCATTGGGCACAAGTTCTCCCAATTCATTTGTAGCAATTTTTAAAGCCAACAGTTTGGTCACTTGTATAGATTTTTTTTTTTTAAGATTTTATTTATTTGACAGAGAAATCACAAGTAGGCAGAGAGGCAGGCAGAGAGAGAGAGGAGGAAGCAGGCTCCCCGCTGAGCAGAGAGCCCGACGCGGGACTCGATCCCAGAACCCCGACATCATGACCTGAGCTGAAGGCAGAGGCTTAAACCACTGAGCCACCCAGGCGCCCCTAGATTTTTTTTTTTAACCCTGAAATTGGGTTTCTAGAGTGAATTCCTGAAATCAGAGGGGTTTATGGACTGTTGTAGGATAAGAATAAAGAAGAGCATGAAAATATATTCATAATGTATCCTTTGGGTTCAAAATAATTGATTCCCTTCATCTGGATACACAAATAGGTAACGTGAATTACACCCTTTGGATAGATGTGGTAAACGCATTTAACACAGCATTTTTGGTCTCAGTGAGTAACTGTGTTGTCTTGATAGAGAGCAATTTTTAGAAATCCTAGAAATTGTTGATTGTTAATATTTCAATAATCCTGAAGATAGTGCGGCAGGCGGTGTGAGGTGTTGACAGTGTGTAAGTAAGACTCTCTTAGATTTGGGGAATTGGAGCTACTCTGATGACTGTCAGTTAAGGAAAAACTATGTATGTAATTGAGGAATGCAGATCATCGCAGATTTCAGGCAGCCTTAGTATCTAGTGGGGCACAAAAACATGTGAACACCTAAGTTGCCTCCAAGAAGACAGGAACGTATATCTTTCCAATCTGGTTTAGTAGATCAGTTTGAGACAAGCAATCAGATGCTCTGAAGTAGCTCTTTGCTTTTTCTCCCACTTCTTCGTTTTACTTTTAGCAATGACTCAGTGGAGGGGCTGTACTCAAGTGAATTATAGTGCCACGAGTGCCAACCCCAAAGAACTGGGGCAGGATGCAAAAGCGCAGATTTCAAGTTTGGGTTATACATATTTATAGACATTAGGCAGTGTAAATCATTTTCATATTTTGCAAAGTTAAAGTGAACATCAGAGACTAGTTACTGACTACTTTCCGTCCCCAGGTGTCTTAAAACATATTAAAAGCTCACGAGTGTTTGTTGATTGTGACTTTAATCACCATTTTTTCTTTAATGTTTTGGGATTGTGTTTTTTATGTTGAATGGTGGTAAAAGAATTTATAGCTCCAGACAGAAAGTTTATATATAATCTATGAAGAGAACAGTGCTGGCTCATGCATTGGCTATGATGGAAATGCATAGTGAAATTTTACATTCACAGGTCTGATTGAAAGCCTGAACACCTTCACCACCTCTTCGTTGAGTTCTTCCCTACCCTACCCCCTGACAACTAAAGCTGAAAACAATTTAAGCTTAATATGGTAAAATTCTTGCAGTGTGATGACTCTAGTTATTTTATTTAATTTGTTTATTTCATTTTATTTTGAGAGAGGGAGGGAGGAGGGTAGAGGGGGTGAGGGAGAGAGAAAATCTTAAGCAGGCTCCATGCCTAGCATGGAGCCTGGATGAGGGGCTCAATCTCATGACCCTGAGATCATGACCTAAGCATAAATCAAGAGTTAGATGCTTAACTGACTTAATCTAGTTTTTTTTTTTTTTAAGGAGATTTCCTTTATGTTACCTAATAACCTACAGTGTTTTACTAATAGAAACATAACCTAACCAGGTTTGTTGATGATAGCACCTGGAAATGAGATTTAATGACCTGTTAGTATGGATTTTAGATTTTTTTTTTGAATACTCAAATTTATTCAACTTTGAAATAAAAGTATAAATTCTCTGGTAAAAGTGAGGAATTATAAACTAGTGTAATTCTCTGTAATGCAGTATCAAATATCTTTCAGTATTTATTTACACATTTGCTGAATTCTTTAGAATGTGTCCTTAGACAATTGATTACTGGAGATCCATGCTGAATCCCAGGAGGACGTATGTTTTATGGCTTCACAAAAAATGGTATGATAATAACCCCCAAAATGTCAAGTAAATGTTACTGTTGCTAATTAGAGTTCAGCCAAAGATAGATCCCGGTGTCTACATCTCTACATAGTATGCTCATAATTTGCCCTTAGTGCTTGCTTGTGATTTCACATGGTTTTCCGATGAGTACATGTTTTAGTGGTACAAGGAAGAAGTAAAGTTAAAAAAAAAAAAACAAAAAAAACCTTAATTAACTTCCTAGAAGTTAGAATTGCCAAAGTCTTAGGAAGTTGAGGAGGTATGGGTATGATGTCATCCATCCTGTACCTACATTACCCTTGCTAAATAAGCAGCAATGCAGGGGGAGAAAGTCACTTAAAAAGGGGGGAAGGGGTAGGTAAGTCTTTGTTTAAATGTCACCTGCTCAAACAACTCTTTAAAATTTTTTAAAATTGCCATCCATCTTTCATTCCCACTGACTTTACCTTTCCCACGTAGTGTTTAGTATCTTATGATATTCTGTATAACAGACTTGTTTATCTCTCATCCTCTCCAACTAGAATGTGAGCTCCCAAAGGAGAGGAGCTTGGTTTTGTTATATTCTGAATGGTTACTGGCAGGTAGTAGGTGTGTGAGTTTGTTGATTATATGAACATGTATTTATTTAGTGAATACCTGTGCTAGGCTCCCCCACCTCCCTTGACACTTTCCATAGAGCATTTGTTTCATTCTAAGTATAGACCAACCCTCAAGGTAGATGTGGATTTTGTTTACTGTGGAGAAACTGACACCCAAAAGTCTAGGAGGGAGCAGTGTCCACATGCCTTTTACCCTGCCAGCCTCCATTCATCTCCTTTTTGTACAGTAGTTTAGTTTCTAGTGGTCAACAAATGCACAAATCAAAGGCCTTTTCATAGTTTGGTGATCTAAAATATCACCAGAATTTTCTGCCATTTTGTTCATCATCTTTGTTTTGAACAAAAATTTGTTTAATTAAAAAATGAGTTACTTTTGTTCTTTTATCAAGTCAGACAAGCATCTCGGCATGTGTACTAGGTTTTGTTTATTTTATTTTATTTTTTTTTAATTTTCTGGACTTGGGTTTAATTGGGGATATGGAAATAAATGTCCCTGCCTGGATGGCTTCCAGTGCGGACTGTGGTATAAAGGTCTAGCTTGCAAAGGTTCCAGTTGCCTTGTGTATTTATTGCTGTAGCTATATACAGTGTTTGATATCTTCATCTGTTCCCATAATACTACTTTCTTCAGGTATGTGGAAGACAAAATGGGATTTGCAGAAGCCCAGACACTTGCTCTTGGTTCCATGATGACTATAAAAAAGGACAGTAAGAATCAGGTGCCACGTAGCAACAGAAAGAGTTGCCAAGTATCAATTATTAAACTGAACAGCTCAGTATTATAGCTTTTTGTCTGGTAGAATGAAAATACAAAGACAAACAATGGTTGTCTTTTTGTCATAACATTTTTTCCTGATTGGAAAGAGGTTTTAGAACTATGATACCATTACTGGTATGTAGACAGAGTGGTGTCCTTTATGATGAAGCTTGGGAAGCTGGCACCACTTGGCTGGGTGACACCAGGTTGCCTTTGAGTTTACATTGGTGACATTATTCCAGTATTAGGCATTAATTCTTGCCTGGCACTTCTGTTGTAATGAGCCAAAGGCAGACCTGCAGGGGAATCCTAATGTGCATGGAATTTCAACAAATTGGACTTTTGTTTTTATCAGCATTCCACACAGTTATTTATTCTGCAGTTCGAAAGTAAAAATTATTATAAAAACTACACAAATATTAATTGAACTTACTTATTGACATTTGCAAATATATTTCTTAAACTTTTTATTGGACTATAATAAACATGTTGAAAAGTGTGCTTTGATATATGTAGCTCACAAAATCATCAACAAACTGAACATGTGTGTATAACTAGCACACAGATCAAGATGCAGGCCACGACCAGCCTCCCTGAAGTCCCTTTTGTGCCCCCTTCCAGTCACTGTGTTACCTCCAAGATAACTACTCTCCTTAACTTCTAAGCACTGATTAGTTGGGCCCATTTCATGTGCCATCTTTCACCCAGCGTGTTTGTAAGACATGTCCCTGTCAGAGTAATTGTAACTCCTTGTTACTACTGTGCAGTGTTGCACTGTGCAAGTACATCATGATTTATCTGTTCTCTTGATTGTTTTCAGACTACTCCAGGATACTGTGAATAGTGCAGCTGTGAACACTCTAGTCCATGTCTGGTGGGTATAGACCCTCATTTCTCTTGAGTATATACACAGGAGTGGAGTTACTGGGTTATAAAGTATTTGAGTATTTAGCTTTGGCAGAAACTGCCAAGCAGTTTTCCAAAGTGGTTGTACCAGAGTTCAGTAGCTCGTCCTTGGCAACAGTTGATATTTTTTTTTTTCCTTTTAATTTTGGCCACCCTGGTGGGTGTATGCAAATAAAATTTTAAAATTCAAAACAACACTGTTTTCCCCAGGTTTGCAGGTTGGATGTCTGCAGCCGCAGCAGGGAGCCCAACTCCTTAGGGGATACTTCCTGTCAGAAAGTAGAACCTAGAACTAGGGAGCATGGGTCTGAGAGAGGCCATACAGCTGTGGTACTCAATAGAATAAAACATAAATTTAAGTTTAATAGACTAAAAAACTGTCATAGTCGAACACATCAAAAGGTTTTATTGCACAAGGGGTTTTGAGGGCATAGATGAGCCAGGTTTTAACAAACTAGAATGCTGGGGGAGGGGGGTGCAGAGTTATGGTTAATTGAATTTTCTTGTT